TGCGCGCTGGGGCCCGCCGCCACCTCGGCCAGCTGCTGTTCCTTGTCCAGGGGGAAAAGCAGCACGATCTTGGCCTGGGGGTGGAGCAGCGGCGTGAGGGGAAAGAGCGCGCCCCGCCTTCCTCCCCGGGACCCCTACCCACCCCAGTCCTATCTCCCAGGACTCTGCTCCCTCTACGTTTCCAGGACTCTCGCCATGCTACCGTACCCGGGAGGGGGTTCCCCACCCTGCCCCACGGCCGGAGACCCCCGCCTCCACTCTGGAAACCCTCAGCCATCCAGGCTGACCTCCTGAGACCTCGCTCCCGTCTACGTTTATGGGATCCCTGCCTGTCCTCCCAGCCTTGACACTGGGACCCTCACCCACCCCGGCCCCGGGCCAGGGCCTCTGCCCACTTGAAAAGGGGGAGAAGTAGCATGGTTTGAGACTGGGGCTGGAAAAGGGGGCATAAGGGAACTCCTCCTGCCCATAGCCCCGGTGGTACCAAGTAGGGGTTCATTCCCCATGCTGGGACCTCCACCCATCAGTCCGGGGTTGTGAGAATCCCCTCCTGCCCACTTCCTTGGCTCCCAAGTCTCATCCACCTCCTGGTTTCTGGAATCCCTGCCCTCCCTTCTGGGCTTTTAGGACCTCATCCACACTCACATGGGTTCCTGGGACCCTCATCCTCAGGAAGGCTTCTCTAACCCTTTCCATGCCCCTAGGCCTAGACTCCCAGAATCCGCTCCTGCCCACCTGTCCAGGTTCCCCTGACCCCCACCTGCCCCTTGGCCCCTGGCACTCACGCTCGGCTTCTTCCGCTTGAGGTGGCTGAAGAACAGCTGTTTCCGCCGGGCTGTGTCCACGTCGGGTGGCTTCTCCTTGCGGGCCTGCTTGGGAACTTTGGTCCTCTTGTGGGAACTATTGTTTCCCATGGCAGGACTGGTCACCACTGGGGGCCACAGCCCATGCTGCCTCTGCCCTGCTCTCTGGCCAGGGGCCCCCTGCCCTAGCTCTGTCCCGGGGAGGCTCCATTGTGACCTCATGGATTGACCTCACCAGTTCCAGGCTCCGAGTTCCTCCTCCCACAACCCGCAGGCGAATATTGGCTCCATTTACTCTGTCTTTGACTTCTTCTGGCCTCAGTTTCTCGGCTGTAAAACTGGGCTAATGATCATAAATGAGATGATGCCTGTAAGGTGCTTAGTGTTGAGTAGAGAGGAATTTCTGTGACCTCAGTTTGAATTCTGGCTCTGCCACTAACTAGTTGTATGACCTTGGCCAATAATCAACTGCTCTAGGCCTCAGTCTTCATCTGCAAAGTGGGGTCAAAATTATGGTTCCTATAAGTTGTTATGAGGATTTAATGAAATTCTGCTTGGAACAGGGCCTGGCACAGAGTGGATGCTTGTGTCAGCTGGGTTCTTTGGTTGCAAGCAACAGAAACTGATCAGTCGTCTTAACAACCCAAAAGGGAATTTATTGGAAGGACTTCAGGTAGCTCAGAGCATGGCCAGGAAGTCTGGAGACTGAGCTTGCAGAGAGAGAAACCACTGGCCTCTCTGACAATGAGAGAACCTAGCCTCCCCTCTGTCCCTACCTCCCAGTTCATAAGCCTGGCCCAGCGGGGCCCATGTGATGGTTGAGTCGAGGCAGGTCCTGGGCAGGAGACGAAGCTCCTGACGGATGGGTCCTCTGGGGCCCCTTGTAGCGGGAGAGCAGGCACCTGGACCACAGCTCCGCAGGACTCCCATCTTGGACTGTGTCCTGTGTAGGAATTGACTCACTGGAGCCTCTCGGCAGCTCAGTGAGATGGCTGTTATCATGCCTGTTTTATAGGTGAGGAAACTGAGGCCCAAGGAGGTGAAGGTAGTTGGGGAGTCTGTGAGCATCCCAAGTGGGCAGCACTGGGCCTGGCACATGGTCAGCCTCCCTGTTTCTGCTTGCCTTGGGAGGAGCTGGGGAGAGGCGGGTGATGTAGGTGGGGCTCAGCGCTGGGGTGTGTGTGAGGACAGCCACCTGGCTGTCTTGTATCTGCAGCTCCTAGTAAAAGATGCTCAGTAAATGTGGCATGGGTGAGTGAACGAATGAGTGCATGCATATACAGATTGTGAGTTTGGGGCCAGCTGCTGTGTATGGGGCCGTATCACACCATGTTTTTGCCTCATGTGTCAGAATTGGCCTTTGGATGCCCTGTGACCTGCCCCACCCCCCACTAGCCTAGCTGTGCTGGGGCCTCACTGGCTGAAGGTGGTGGCCCCAACAGGCCAAGGGCCTGGAGGCCCAGAGAATGGCAGATACCTACCGTGAGTTGGCCTCTCACCTCCCAGGAAGAGGCCTAGACAAAGAGGGGTCTGGTCTTGGCTCGCCCACTGAGCCGCGGTGCCCTTCTGCTTATGCCAGGTCTGCATGCCCTCTGTTCTTCATGCTGCAGCTGTTGCTCTGACAGACAGAGGGAGGGGAGCAGAGGAATGGCTCCCCATCCAGAAATATATGCTTGGGGCTGAGAGATGCCAGCTCTGCCCCCTCTGCCCTTAGGAGTATGAGCGGGCCTCCAAAATGGACCAGTTTGTGACACGCTTCCTACTGCGGGAGACAGTGAGCCAGCTCCAAGCCCTGCAGAGCTCGCTGGAGGGGGCATCGGAGACCCTGGAGGCCCAGGCCCGCGGCCCACGGTATGTGAGGCATCCTGCTGGCCTGCAGGTCCTGTTCGTGAATGCCCTTTACATTCTGTAGTCCCAGCATCCTGGAGCCCCAATTCTTGTTCTCGGGCAGGGAGGCCGAGAAGGGGTGAGAAGGGGTGGCTGGCTGTGAGGCTGGGCCTCAGTGTCCCGGGAAGCCTGTCTTGCTCCACCCAGGCTTGGCCCTGTTCTGGGACCCCAGTCCTTGGCCCTGTGGGTCTGGGAGCAGTGGGCTGACCCGCTGCTTCCCTTAGGTCAGATGAAGACAGTGTGGAGGTGCAGAGCAGGCCTCGTGGCAGCCGGCGGGCGGGGCGCAGGGCCCTGAGGAGCGTCAGTTGGTCACCCACCTGGTCTCCTGGCTCCTCTGACACAGGTGCACCTGTGGTGGGGTGGGAGAGCTGGCTGAGGAGGGTCCAGGGTGGGCACAGCATCCCCAGTGCCTGCTCCTCACTGCTCCTCAGTTCATCGTGAGACGCCTCCCAACCTGACTTCCCCCCATGGGCCCCCACCCCCAGGGCAGAGCTCAGAGGCCGAGATGCAGTGGCGGCTCCAGGTCAACCGTCTCCAGGAGCTCATCGACCAGCTTGAGTGCAAGGTGAGCAGCCGTGTACCCAGAGCCCCGTGGGGGCGGACCTTCCTGGAATCCGCCCAAGCCAGGCACATGCTGGGGCGCTTGGCCCACACTCCGTGTCCCTCACAGGCCCCCCGGCTGGAACCCCTGCATGAAGAGGAGCTTACCAAGGGGCCCGACTCGGTGAGTCTGGGAGAGGGACAGGCAGCAGGGTCTCAGGGGCCAGGAGGTGCTCATGAAATGAGGGGGATCGTGGGGCCAGCTGCCCACCTGGCCCCTGCGGTGCACACACACCCCCTTCCTCAGGTTTGGCCCAGCCCTCATCCCCCAGGCCTGGCAGGCAGGGTTCTGGCCCTTGCTCTGTGACTGCAGAAATCACTGTCCTTCTCTGGGCCTCAGTTTCCCTCATCTGCATTTCTGAAAGCTAGGTCTGTGGATGAAGGCCGGAGGGGACAGTAGGAAGTGGTGGCATACTGCAGGAGAGAGGGACAGTGGCTTGATCAAAGCAGTGACCTTGATGATGGGGAAAGGAGGATGGAGTTAGAGATGTTAGGGGCGGATCGGGGCAGGAGCCCGACCTCAGGTGCAGGTCAAGAAGGACAGGGTCCTCCTGGAGGCCCCAGCCAGTCCCTCACCCGTGTCCTGCCTTACCCCAGCTAACCAGGCTGCCTCTCTTGCCAGCACATCCTCGTGGCCCAGAGGCAGATGCAGGTGGCAGAGGAAGCCCTGCAGGACTTCCACCGTGCCCTGTGCTGCTACGTGGACTTCACAGGGGCCCAGAGCCATTGCCTGCAGTGAGTCCCCAGCTGGCTGGTGGGCTGACCGAGGTGGGGGCGGGGAGCAGGGAGCAGTGCTGGGCCTGGGTGTCCTGGGCCAGGGCTCCCATTAGATACCCCTGGCTGGGTGGGCAGAGGTAGTGGCAGCCGGGCCTGGCCTGGCCTGGCCATCTCTTTGGCTCTGCAGTGTATCTGCCCAGAAGATGCTGGACAATGCTTCCTTCACCCTGTACGAGTTCTGGCAGGATGAGGCCTCCTGGAGAAGGTATGAGTGGTGGTCTAACAGCTAACCTTTACTGATTATGGGCCCTGAGTGAGTCAGGCCTGGCTTCAAATCATCCTCTCCTCATCCTGTGTGACCTCAGGGGAATTACCTAACCCCTCTGAGCCCCAGTGGCCTCCTTTCCAAAATGGGAGTGATAACAGTTCCACCCTCATATGAGTTAAATGAGATGATGTGTAAAGAACTGAATGCAGTGTCAGGTACACGGTAGGTGCTCAGTGACTATACACTGTCACCACTGTGCCATACCCTATGCCAAGCACCTGTGTGTTACTTCATGTAATCCTCACAGTATCCCAGTGAAGTTGACACCACTGTCCCCATTTCGCAGAGGTGAAAACTGAGGCTCAGAGCCAACATGAGGAAGGACTGGAATCTGACTCCAGGCAGGGGGACTGGAGTGGGAGTGGGGAGCTCTTAACCAGGTGGTCCTGATCTCTGGGGGACTAGCTCCAGCCTCAGCTCTCTCCACGGCCCTCCCCAGGCACCAGCAGTCCGCCTGCAGTAAGGCCTTCCAGCGCATCCTCATTGACCACCTGCGGGCTCCCGACACCCTGACCACTGTGTTCTTCCCAGGTGTGCTGCAGCCCCCAACCCTCTCCATAGCCCTGGGACCTGGGAAGGGGCAGCTGGGGCCCTGATGGCCCCTGACCCCCAACCTCTGACCCCAGCCTCTTGGTGGATTATGAATAATAACTGAGCCTGACCTGCATAAGCCAAGGACCCTGGGGCCCTGCCTGCCTCCTTCTGGAGCTTCTGGACTGGTCAACTCAGCACCAAGACCAAGGACGCTGCCGCCTCCTAGGCCTGAGGCCTGGCTTTCAGAGGCCTCCCAGACCCGGCTGATGGAGTTTCAGCCCAGGGGTCAGGGACTGGGCTGCTTGCTTTCTGTTCTTTATGTGTCAGTGTGTTTTATTGTTTGTAGCTTTGGCCTCTGAGGCACTCTGGCCTCTGCCCTGCTCAGGAGGCCTGGATCCTGGTCCCCTCTGCCGCTGCCTTGCTGTGTGACCCAGGGCAGGTCGCTTCCCTCTCTGAGCAAGCCTCAGGCCATCTGGCTGCCTAGCGGGTGCCCTGCTTTCTCCCTGCTGTCTTGGGGCCAGGCTTCTCTTCTTCCCCAACCAGCAGCAGAACCAGGGCTGATGCTCAGGGACCCCCACCTGACCCCGAACCTCGACCCCGGAGGCTGGGCCAGATCTGCCAGCAGTGTGGGGTAAGGACCCTGGTGTCCCCATCACCTTCCTGGGCCAGCAGGCTCCTGCCTCTTCCAGCACCCACGGCTGCACCAGAGACCTCTGGAGGATCCTGGGTTGGTTTGCATGTCATTTGCATATCATTTGCATGCTCATGCCCACCCATACTCAGGGCCCTCTGGGAAGCCCCAAGGTGACCTTGCCAAGAGCAATAATTTGGACCCAGAGTAGCCTGCTGCCCCCAGATACCTCTGAACCCCAGCCCAGGACCCCAGCACAGAGGCAATAAAGGCAGTGGTCACCTCTGGTGTCACGTCCTCTCTCTCTCCCTCGGCAAGGCCAGGCAGTGGAGCTGGTTTGCATCTCAGACCAAAGACACAAGGCAGGAAACCTTCCTTCAGAAATCAAAGGATTCCCATCTTGAGCTGCCATGCCTGCAGATAGTGGGAACTTAATCATAGCTGACCCGGCTTTCCTTACCTCAGGCTCTCTCACCCCACAAGCCCTGGTTCTGGGGTCTTGTTGAGGAAAGGGGAGTGGACATGGTCTCTGCTTTAAACCCATCAAAGTCAGCTGGGGGTTCTAGCTTCACCCCCACCACCGCCCCCTTGCCAACGGGAGGGTATGATATGGAGTCGTGGGCAGAGCACAGAGCCTTCTCAGGGTCCCAGATAGCGTGGCAGGATTCTGTGAGAAGACCTGTCCCCAGACAGAATCTCCCCTGCCCACCTCACCCCTTTCAGGCTGGATGTGTCACCACCCCTGCCACCTGCAGAGCCGTAGAGCGGTGCCAGGAGGTAATGGCCAAGTCAGTCCCACCAGCCACTGGGGGACCCTCCTTCCAGCCATCTGGGGGGAGGGGACTAGGGGGGCATGGAGGGAGGTGACCAACATGGACGAGGGCTCTAAAGGGGAGGCACATGGCACCACAGGCACGAGAGCTCAGGATGGCCTCTGACCTCGTCTGAGGGGTGTTGGAGTCAGGAGATTTTAGGCAGAGGAAACGCACATGCTCAGGCTCTGAGGGGGAGGAGAGCTCGCCTTGTGGAACTGAAGGAAGCCCAGCAGTGGGCTGAGGCCGAGTGAGGGGAGAGCAGGCTGAGGCCGAGGTGGGGAGGCCGCAGGGGCTTGAAGGCACTTCATCCCAAGGAAGCTGTGGTAGGTTTTAACCCAGGCATGACTGGCCAGTGGGCCGAGTGACATTTCACTAATGTTCCTGAGTGCCCTGGTGGTGCCAGGTCCTTGCTGGGCCCTGGGGCATGGCCAGGAAGACAGCTCAGATGGTACCAGCTCAGGGTGGACATCCTAGTCTGGGACTCCAGGCAGGGTCTTCCCTGAGGTTTCTCCCCAGTGACCCCTGCCGGCATTCAGACTCGCGGGGGGACACACAGCTGCTCGCACCGGCCTGGCCACCCTGGCCAAAGAACCAGCACGGGGGTCCCTGTGGCTCCTTGGCCAGCGCCGTGCCAGGCTGTCCTCCTGCCGCCCCACTTCCCAGACTCCCAGCACTTCCTAGAAAGTGCCGCCAGCGCCTGACCACACAGCTCTGGGCAGCTCGAGGGGGTTTCAGAGTCCGTCCTCGTTAGAGAGAAGCGCATCCAGGAGGAAATAATCCCGCTTTCTGTCCTGTGTTCTAATTCCTTCTGTCCTATTTCCTCCATAAAACAGCAACAGCAAATCCTGAAAACTAAACAATGTCCCAATGCCATCTTTGAACAAAGACGTTGAAATCCTCAAGCTGACACCCCTTGAGTGCCTCCTTAGAGTCTGCACCTCTGCCCGCCTCACTCTGCAAAGGAGTTCTGAAAGTTAACACCTTAAAAAAAATAAGACAGGCTGTGTCCTCCCTCCCTTGCTGAAGGCCTGGAGGTGCTGGCGAGCGAACCAGGTGGAGGGGAGATGGTCAGGCCTGCAGGGTAGGGGAAGGCCTGTCGGAGATGGGGATGTTTGGTTTGAGCTGTGGAAGATGAGTAGGGGTCTCCAGACAGATGTGAGGGGCAGATAGGCAGGGAGAAGACTGCAGACAAGGGGACCAGGTGGAACCCTGGAGTGAAAGGGATTGCAGTGAGCTGGGGGTGGGCCAGGCCAGACGGAGTTTGAATGATGTCCTGCAGATAGTGGAGAGAGAGGGGGTTGCCAGACAGGAGAGCACTGTGGGTGGGTGAGGGGGCTGGAGTTACAGCCACAGGGAGGATGCAGTGCTGAGCTGGGACTCGGGGGCACAGAGGAGGTCCCCAGGCCTTTACATTGTGTCTACTTAACTCTTGCAAGTCCACCTTCCTCTCCATCTTGCCATCCCCTACCCCCCGGGTCTTGGCCTTCATCATCTCTGGCCTGGAAGACTGTGGCAGCCTCTTCATTGGGCTTCCTGTCTCCACTCCACTGCCAACAGTCCTCTCCCTGTCAAGGAACAGCCAGAGGGGGCTTTTAAAACATTGCCATGATGCTCACACCCCTCTGGTTAAGACCCTTCAGTGGCATCCCACTGCCTTCAGCATCAAGATCAAGTTTGATTTCCTGACTTGGCATTCAAGGCCTTTAGCAATGAGCCCCTACTCCCAGTATGTGCAGCCTTGTCTCCCTAGAACACTTGAGCTGAGTTGGGTTATTTGCATCCTCAGTCACCCCACTCTTGGCCTTTGTTCTCCACCCCTCCCCCACCCACCTTCTTAGCCTTTAAGTAGCAGGTTAAAGCCATCAGGTCTGGGTTGCCTTTCCTAATCCTTGCCCTCAACGCCCTGTTCTTGCTGGCTCCTCAGCTCATTTCAACAGCCCCTGGGCACTTGCTTTGTGGCAGGTGCTGCGGATGGTGAAATGTCCCGGGCTGTGACAGCACCCAGAGGGTGCTGTCAGAGTACTGAAGGGCAGGCAGAGTACTGAAGCTGGGAGGGCCCCTGGCTCCTTCCGCCAGCTGCCACCCCCCCACCCTTTTACCCACTCCCTGCACCTGCCTCTTCTCTTTCTTCCCACCTGTGCAGTGACTCACCTGCACACCTTCAGACCTGTCCTGGGGACTGGCCCAGTGCCAGACCAGGTGCTGGAGAGACAGCAACAGTCTAGGTAGCTGCCACTGCCCTCCAGCTCTCAGAAACACACTGTCCCCTTAACACAGCCTCTGATGAGTCGAAACAAAGGGACTGAGAATTAGGTGAGTCTTCAAGAAGTTATTCTCAAAACAAATACTACTTGAGTAAGACACAGGCTCCAGGCAGGATGCGGGGACAAAGACAAATCCTCAAGGAAATCACATGGTGGCAGAGACAAGCCAGTTGTGATGGCAGCCTCTGTTTACAGGGGCTTCCTGGGTGCTGGGCCCTGTACGAGGGGCCCCTCCCACGTGATCACATTTCACCTCACAACAACCCAGTGGTGTCGGCTTCATTAGCACCCCCAGTTTACAGAAGAAGAAACAGAAGCTCAGCCAGTGAGTACCTTGCTGCAGGTCACACAGCTGGATCTACTCCCTGGCATCAAGAGCAATTTGCTGTCAAGCGTGAACAGTGCTGTGGGAGATCTCGGGCATCCTCTGGTAACGGAAACCAGCCCAGGAATGGAGGACGGCGGCAGCTATAACAAAGGAAGGAGCCAGGCCAAGCCCTGGGGCTGCAGGATCACAGATAGGCAGCAAGGAAGAGCCATGGGAGCACAGTGCGAGGTGGAGGGTGGACCTGGTATGAGCTATCCAGGGCCCGGCCCTCCGAAGGTAGTCGGGGCTGAGTCCTGATTATTTCTGGAACTCCCCGGGAGGCACCCAGAGAACGTTAGGTGAACTCATGGGGCAGACAGGCAGCCTCAGAAAAGGTTGGTGCAAAGGGGAAGGCGAAAGTTGCTGGGGTGTGCACCCAGGATAGGAATCTATTCTATCAGAGGTAGCAAGTCTGGCTTTGTCCACAAGAGGGCGCCTGGCACCAGGCTGTGAAGCGGCCTGGGGAATGGGGGATGGTTTGTTGCCGGTTCCCCCAACCCTCTCTGGAGGCAGGACCGCTGAGGAGAGGATACACTCAACTCACGCCCCTGAAATTCTAGCAGCCAGAAACAAGCACAGACGGGCAAGATGGGTTTAGAGCCACGCACGTTTGCTCGCTCTGAGTTTGTTTCATCATCTCAGGCCAATTTTTTCCCTTTATACTGAGAAACACGTCAGTAGGCTCCTTGGACTCCACGCTCGGTAAAATTTGAAAGGGCTCTCCCCTTGCAACTTACCTTCCAGGACTAACTCTTTCCTGTTTTCCATCTCCTTGTCTCTATGACAAGAAATCATATAGTAATGCTTCACTTATTTTCACATTCATCTAGCTTGCTGTTCAATAGTGCACCAGTATTTATTTCAATGACTACTTATTTCCAGAATTCTTTTCAAATCTGCCTATTTTTAGTCTCTTACTTTTTGCTCACTTCTTTCCAGCACCATCTTTAGAGGTTTCATAGTTATTTTATATTCTGTATCTGATAATAACAATATCCAAATTCCCAGAGGTCTAAATCAGTTGTCCACTGTTCTGCTGACTCTTGCTCATAGTGGCTCATTTCCTTGGATGTTTAGTAATTTTTTGGAACAGTTTCCAATTAGTTGTTATGTAAGATTACGATTGATAGTTTTGGTATTTTTGTCTAGAGGATTTGCATTTTTGCTTCTGCCAGACACCAGGAGATACTCCAGGCCTAGAATCATCTTAGTTTCTCAGCCCAGGGATTCTCTGACCTCCTGGAGTAATGAACATCTGAACCTCAGCCCAGGAGAGGGCAGACATGAGGACGGAATCTGGTCAGACTTTCTCTGTCTTCAAGCAGGGGCAGGAGCTTCTGCGCAACTCCTACTGCAGACAGGCAGAGTCTCCCTGCTTAGCACTGTGGCGGAAGCCAGAGTGACCCGGCTTCATGGACAGCTCCCGGTTTTGTTTCTCCATTTTGTATAGGCTCAAAGCCTAGTCTCACCTTCCCCCTAGAAGCAGTTTATCCCTCAAACTCTAACTTGGAATTTCTTTTAGCCCCCGAGCAGCATAGGATTTCCTCTTTTGTGTTCACCTACCTCTGTGGTTGCAGTTTACTCTTAATTTTTTTTCTGGCCCTTGGGGATTTCCTACACTTTTTCATCTGTGACCTCAGCAATGCAGTTAAAAGTACATTCACTAGAATTTATCCAGCATCTGGGTGTTTTATGGTAATGGCAAAGTTCCCAGCCTGCCATTTCTATAGCAAATTTAACACAGTATTACACCATGTTATCACTGGAGTCCCTGGGACCTTTCTGCCAGAGCTAAGGCAGACTGTGGATGACTGACTTGTCTACCAAATGTGTTTTCGTGCTCGGCC